TCTCGGCATCGGTACGCACGTCCTCAGGGGCGTAGCGCGCGAGGAGGTTGAACTCATGCAAATACTCTATAACTGTTCTGGTTCCTTGTTGCAGGGAACGGAACTCTCTCTTCTTTTGTGCCACAATTCCCTCGGGAACCTGTGCTTTATTGAAACTATGACGAAACTCTGTCCAAGTAAACTCTGCCCCAGCTGGACGGGTCACCATGTAGTTGTCCCACCAAATAGAAGCGGGACCTTGTAGCTGGTGTGTAGCAAAAGCAACCTTCTCCTGCTCGTTGCATTGCAAAAGATTCAGCTTCTTCTCAATGGCATGAAGCCAGTCGTGGGCCTCGATTGGGTTGGTGGTGCTTGAGAAGGTGGGCGGCTTGACACGAAGAAATTCTAGCAGTTTGGACTGAGGAGGTGGAGAACCAAACTGCAGGTTCTGCTGCTGCAGCTGTGCTTGCTGCTGCACCTGCTGCAACACCTGATGGTACTGTTGCTGCATCTGTTGCATCATCATTGTCATCATCTGAGTCTGATTGTCCAACACCTGAGCAATTGTTGGGTTCTCGGGCGGTGGGGACGGACTGTTGTCAGATGCACCGTTGGCACGTGCTCCATTGGTCGGCTCTTCGCTGCCACTGGCGTTGTTCGAGTCGCGTGAACCATTCCTTATCTCCATCTGAAGGGGATAGGTAGAAATATGAGAAAAGGAAGAAAAACAGGGGGCTCAGAAACTAATCTTGCTTATGAATTTAAGTGCAATTATCTTAATCTTGATTAAAACACTGAAAAAGAGGCACGCAACTCCTAATTGAGGCAGTCATACCACTGACACATGATATCGACCGCCGACTAACCCACAAGCAACAAACCTAAACACGAAAACTAGCAAGCAAACAGACTAAGAAGGCGATAAAGCTAAGGGTGGCGACTCTGAAGCTTGGAGCGGCGCTTGCGAACGAGGGATAGGACTGACATCTAAAGTAGACAAGGGATAGGAACCAATTTATGCTCAAATCCAAATTAAACAAAGCAAAAGAAGACTCAAATAAATAACCGAGCAGGATGATTTTTATGCATAGAACATTTTTCATGAACTCAAATAAAGACACTAATGCAACTAAACAATAAATTAATGCATAGACTAGTTGCATGGAAAATGATGCGCATAACATTGCCCCCATCGAATATAGACACGACCTAATGCATAAACCCCCAATAAATTCCCGACTGACTGTCGAATAAACTCCAACTAAAATTTTTCTAAAGCCCTAGGCTGAGCTAATTTTTTTTTTTTTTTTAAAAAAAAAATCCGACCCGAAAGAACGACCAAGATTTTTCCCGCAAACCAAAGAGGCAAAACTCCAAATTTTCCCGAAACAATTCCAGGTGCAAAAAGGGCATATGCAGATGAAAAAGGGGTTCAGAGGGCTCTTAGGGTTTCCAGTTGGCTTGTCCTACGGTCAAGGTCGGCTCTGATACCAACTTGTCACGCCCAGAAATTCTCAAACCAGAATTTCTAAGCTGAATGTGCATTAAATCCCTGTCCAGGACCAGCCAGGGTACACAAACGACAATTGTTGACATACAGATCCACGTCTTACAAAAATAGAAAAGATTACAAATGCAGCGGAAAAGAATAAAAGCGAGCTAAACCGGGAAGCTTGACTTCAGCAGCGGGCGGCTCCACTCCACAGGCAATCCTTGACGGCAGCGACGAAACCAACTTTGACAAAACAGCTCCAACTAGGAAGATCTTCAGCTCTGGTGTGGGGGAAAAGAGAGCAAGACTGAGTACTACCCACTGTACTCAGCAAGTCATACCGGAAGAGGAGGTATGATGCAGGATATAACCAAAGGAGGCTAGAGGTTCTTTTGCATAAAGCTAGCATTTAAAAGCAGTAGTTGGAAGCAGTAAAACAGCTGTAGTAATTAATCAATATTAACCAAACACTGTCCAACGCTACACCACGTTGCAACAGGCCCAACCAACCTCCTGAACTACACCAGTTCATTAAGCTAAACTAGGGGTGAGACTAATCACGGTGAATCTGGTTGATCGCCCATAACCGCGGGCACGGCTATTCGAATAGTTTTACTCTGGCCAGAGGTGTACAACTGTACCCACAAGACACGATTCCACACATGTCGCCATGCCCCGAAGTATCACCATGATACTGCAAAGGGGGAAATCGTGACAAGACCCTCCACATAACCCTCCCCTAACCATCCACACCACGCTAAGGTTTCACCCCCACCCCTCAAAAGGCAGTGGGCGGTCCCCTCTTGCGCCGCGGTGAATCCGGCAGCTGGACAACCGGACACCCCGGCCGACCCAACTCCATCACGCCCACCCTCGCCACCGGTGCCTAGGAAAGGGTCGAGCTATACTTCAGATCAAGCAGTTACCCACTCCCGCTTGTGGTAAGCACGGTAAGTCTCCCAGGGTTTCCCGTGAACTGGTCCTTAACTGCCATGGGTGCGACCAGCAAAACCATGCACCCACAGCCCACCATTCAGTGTATTTTAATTAACTAACACCATTGCGGTGGCACCAATCTAAAGCTATGCCAATAGACAAAGTCTATGTAATAAGGTGATCCCCATTTGTGTGCTAGTTGAACTAAGCATGGCTAAGCATTTCCTAACCAACATCTAGTCATTTTGATACCCAGGTTATCAATGGCATAAGGTAAACAATAAATGGCTGAGTATTAGGACCCATCCCACATGATATTGTAAAAGAATGCACATTTAATAGAAATGCGGGATATTTGTAAATTGGGTACAATATGATCAAACGTATTGCATGACTTGCCTTTCTCTCGCACTGATGAGATCACAGCAACGTCTTCGAGAAACCGTGGATCGACGAAACGGCCGAAACCTACGCGACAAACAAAGCACACAAGCAAAACATGCTATAAGACTACAGAAACAGGAAACAAAACCATTTTTAATGGATTCTTTGCATTTTTCTTGATTTACTGAGACTTGAATGGACTTAAACGGAGCTCGGATGATTTACTTATGATTTTTAGAAGATAAACTGTGTTTTTACTAATAAAGAAAAGTCCTTAATTAATTATTGCGCAATTATTGCCCCAGGGCTGACGTCAGCGAGGGGAGGGGGCGGCGCCGACATGCGGGCCCCACTGGTCAGCGACACTAAGAGAGGGAGAGGGGGCGGCTGGCAAGCGGGCCCCACTGGCAGCGGCACAAGGGGAGAGGGAGGGGTGGTCCACCGGCTGGTGGGCCCCACCGGGCAGCGGCACAGGGCGGGAGAGGGGCGTGGCTGTTGGCTTGGCACGGCTCGAGCCGGCCGGCCATGGCGAGGCGACGACGGCGCACGACCGCCGGCGGTGACCGGCGGCGCGGGGAGACGGCGGCGACCGGCGCGAAGGCGGCGGCGGCAGCCGAAGACGACGGCGCACGCGCGGAGGGCGGCGGCGCTCACGGGGGAGAGGAAAGGAAGGAGGAAAGGTGATTCCTCACCGAGGCGATGGCGGCGACCGGCGTGGGAAGAGACGAGCGGCGATGACCGGCGACGCGGAGGCACGGACGGGCGGCGGCGACACCCTAGGGGAAGATGGAGAGGCGTTAGGAGAGGAGACGACGACCACGGCGGCTTGAATTGCCGGCCGGAGATGGAGGGGAGGGAAAAACTCACCGGCTCGCGAGGGGAGAGGTGCTCCGGTGGGATTCCGGCGACGCGAGGCGGCGGCCGGGAAAGCTCTTGCAGCGGCGAAGCTAACGGCGGCGGCGGTTTGGCGCGGCGGCGACTCTAGCGGCGGCGGCTCGCGGCCGAAGGCGGCGGCCAGCGGCGGAGCTCGGGTGCGACGGCGCGAGGGCGGTAGACGGCACGGGAGAGCGCGGCGAGTGCGAAAAAACGAGAGAGGAAGACGCGGGGAACGATTTATAGGCGGAGGGGGAGGCGGTCGTGGCCGGGAACCCATCCTATTGCGCCGGCGACGTGGGAAGGTGGGGGAGAGAGAGAGGGGTGGGATTCAAATTCGAATCCCGCCCATTTGCGAGGCGCGCGAGGGCGGGAGACGCGGGGGAGAGGCGGCGACGTGGGAGGGGGACGCGGGAGCGGCGCGGCGTGGGCGCGGGAAGAGCGGAGGAGGCGGCGACGTGGCGGATTCGGCGGCGGTTGCCGTCAGAGGCGGGTGGCTGGAGGAAGGGGACGACCTGACAGGTGGGCCCCACCTGTCAGCGTCCCGGAGAGAGGAGGAAGGAGAACGGGCCGGCCCACAAGGGGAGGCCGAGCGCGGGCGACGGGTGGAGTGGGCTGGGCCGACGGCCCAATAGAGAAAAAGGAAGGAAAAAAAAAAGGAAAAAGAAGAAAGGATTTTTCCTGGGATTAAAAATTGCACTTTGGTGATTTTTAATTGGTTAAAATTATTTCCAAGGCTCTGAAAATTCCACTAAAAATCCTGTTAATATATTGTGACATGTAGAATCCAAGAAAAATTCCACATGCCGATTCCGATTATTATTTGCATTTATTAATTAGGGAATTAGCTCTAGGTTAATTAAGATAATTTCTTCGGACGATTTATTTAGCCAAATTTTTAAAGCAAGCAAAAAGGGGGAAAACTTCAGGGCGTGACAAGTTAGCAGCTGATTGGATTTTTGGAGGGAGAGAAGAAAGGGTTAGAGAGTGATCCAGGGTGTGCCACTCCTCAGGGTGTTAGAAGAAAGTTAGTAGAAGACTTTGGCTGAAACCAAACTTCAAAAAGAGGTTTTGAAATAAATTTTACAGAGAGAGCAAGTTTGAATCTACTAAGCAGTTCTTTTCAGGATTTTGGAGAGATTAAAGGAGATCAACAAGTTAGCAAACCTTACTGAAAAACTCTGAAAATTTGTGGGTTGATTTCTGACATATCAAGGTTTTTTTTTTTGAGAATTTTTGTGGAAGTTTTGGATGCATATAATTACCAGATTAATTGTTTTTGTGACTCTAGGCCTATCAAGATGCATATGATGAGATGATTAAGATCCAAAAACAATTAAAACCACTCCACAACCACATGATGCATTTAAATTAAATTTAGTTCTCAGGTTTACAGGCTTGGGTATGTTACAAACATAACATAACAAAAGGCCGAACTAGAGCGATTAGGGGTTAAGCTTCTCTATTGACCCCTTCTACGTCGTTGTGTGTGTAATGCAACTTCGTGATCCTTCAATCTCTTATATTATGTTTGCGTTTCAGCTTTAGTTACTCTTCCGCCTTCATACGTCGGGCTGACCATGTCGATCCATGAAGTAAAAGCACACATCCTTGGATTCCCCTGAACAATCAATCAAATTAGATAATGGGAAATAAATGTTATGGGAACGCGAAGCAAAATGTAAATTAATAATTAAGCATGTGACATACAACGAAGTTGTCGTCTATGTTGGGACAGACGAAGTACCGCCTGCCATATGTATCTTGTGAGAAGGACGTTGCAACCTGGCAGCGATCTCTACAACTGCATTTGGGATGATCAGACCATTCAGGTATACCTAATGGATTTGATCTCCAGTGTAAGCTAGCGGACTAAACCTGGCGCTCGTACTCCATCCACGCTTGAATGAATTGTGTGGTTGTCTTAGGTTGAGTTATCGTCGTATCAATCCACTTTACATAGCTACATTTGCGGTCTTCTTCCTGTGTGCAGAAATTAATGACCGTTGGCATATGTAGGTATATGACAGAAGTAATGAGAGTGAGTGAAAAATTAGTGGTACTTACAACAAAATCATCGTCGACAATGTTAGGACACACGAAGCATCTCTGTCCTAGAGTTCGTTGTCGAACGGACCTTATCACCTGGCAACGGTCTCCACACCTACACTCTGGACGCTCCCGTCAAGTGGGGAGTCCCAGTGGATTTACTTGCCATTGTAAGGATTTGGCAGTTTTTCATCGTTCGTACTCATCCTTCCTCCTTAGGTAGTCCGATAATGGTTCGCTGCATGGATATGGGCGTGCCCTGTCACGTTGTGGATTCATCGTATCAACCCACTCAACGAAGTCGCATAAACTATGGTAAGTCTGAAAATTCGAGATATTGTAGACATGTGGTTAGCGATGTATGTATTAAACATGTGCAAATGTAGAGATAACAATGGATTGAACAGTTCCCTGGTAAATGTTTGGGCATTGGAAAAATCTCCTACCGTGGATTTCAGTAGTAAGTGATGTCATGAGTATACATTGATCACGGCATGCGCAGATTGGACGGTCGCACCATGGTGGAAATAGACCTGCGAGTAGGGGTGGACAAAAAGCTTGGGCTCGTGAGCTCGGCTCAGGCTTGGCTCGGGCTCACATAGCTCGGCTCGGCTCGAAAGCCAAACGAGCCAAGCCCAAGCCTCCTTCCTAGCTCGTTTCTGAAACAAGCCAAGCCCGAGCCGGCTCACGAGCCGCTCGTGAGCTCGCTTGGCTCAGTACAATAGTGTCATATGCACAAGTTTTACACCTTTTCTAACTATTTATTTGTTGAAAATAATAATTTTGATTGTCATATTATCTATTTATGTGTTGTGATGACATATTAAAGAAAAATATCACTTTATTACACATTCTATGTGGTAAAATGTTGCTCCATTTCTCTTAGACCTGCTTGAGATTTACTTGATGCCAGGCTCGCGAGCCAGCTCGAGCCCATAAATGAGCCGAGCCGAGCTGCAGTTTTAGCTCGTTGTTTGTAGCGAGCCAAGCCAAGCCGAGCTTCCCTTGCACCAAGCTTTCACGAGCCGAGCCAAGCCAGGCTCGTCTCGGCTTGTTTCCACCCCTACCTGCGAGTGGATCTCTCCGCCAGTCTAAATGCTCGCAGAATGGAGCTTCCATTGTGTTGAACTTGATGCTGAAGACAATGGGAAATGTAAAGAGGAAAGGACTTGATGAGCTCTTGTTTGGTCAAGGTATGTATTTATAGTGCCGTAACAACTGCAGGAAGCGTACCGGTGAAGATAGGGTTGATGTGTGGATAGACTTGACGGGCACGAGCGAGCAGTCTATACTGAAAGGTGATCACGACTAGTCGAGCTCTCGCATGGTCGCTTTCATAACTCTGCAGTTGATAAAGTTGAAAAATGGGGTGGACCACAAAGGGACATGTGCACCGAAAGTAGATAGCACACCACGTGCATGCATTTATGCACCTGTCCTATAGTGCGCCGCAAAGTTCGAAGCGAATCATTTGTCCTGATTCATTGGAAGGGTATGCAAAAAATGAATTCATCTGAAAAAGATTATGAAACAGTAATGATAATAACTAAGTTAATAATAAAGTGTTGACAAATAGTAGGGATAAAACATAAATGTCTCAAATTTTAATACAAATAGATAAGTCAAGGGCGATCAATTCCCTTCGCACGCTTGCTAGGTCCCCCTTCTTCCTACGTCTAATCTGCTCAGTGGGATATGTCAAAATATCGGGGGGTGCCTCTCTCTTGCTGTCTGCTGTGGTGTCACCTCGGGTGCCTGAACGGCCTTTGTCTCCTGTGTCGGCTGTGTGACCTGAGGTGCTGCGTGCCAATAATCCATCCCTGCTTCCCCTTGAGGAGGCTCAGTGGAAAAGAAGTCCTCAATGAATGCTGTGCGAGGGGAGTACTCATCATCTGTTTGCATAAGAGGGAGAAACCAAAAATGGCATACTTAGTAATGATACATATAATTAGAAACTAAAGCGTGTTATTGTTTAAAATGACTTACATGTGTGCTGTGTGTGGCCTTGATCTAGCGCACGCGGAGTGACATGAAGTCCCCATGCCGGTGTGTTCAACACGTTGTCCCCTGTTGGCATGTAAGGGAGGTGTGCCAACCCAGATGCTCCCTGGGTGGGGTGAACATAAGGCGGAGTTTGGAATACCTGCGGACGTGGCTGTGCCGTGCTCGATGTGGGTACCCCTGATCCAGCTGACCCCCTGGTGTACTCCAGTGCTGGGGTGTGCTGAAAGGAAGGACGACTGTGAGATGTGTGGGCTGCTTCGTACCCGCAACGTAACGTGGATAGACCACTGTGATCCACGCTGGAACAACGGGGTAGTGGTGGTGATGCCCTACAGGCCGACAGCTGCACCACATCTGCTGCGCTCCCGCAGGAGACACGACAAAGTAGTGCGGCAGCACAGGCACGGAAGTTGCGAAGGACGCTCGCCACATCGTCAGGCCTGACGACTGGAGGTCTCGTCTCTAGTCTTTGCAACAGGGTGTCGAACTCTACTTGAACGTGCTCAACAAATTCCGCCTATTCCACAAATAAGCAAGGCAATTAAAATTATTGAAGTAGTTGCACATTTATTAAGAGTATTGAACAAGTTGCACATTGATTAGAAATATTGAACCGGCGTGTCGGTCATGCAGAACACAAACATTTGGTCTATTTCGAACAACACACAATTTAATGTGCCGCAAAAACCAAAGCCAGCTTGATGTGTTCTCGCTTTCAACAAATGCAAAAGCAACAGCAACGACATGGCTATCCGCATCGACTCCGATCGCGATTAGAATTGTTCCTCTGTACTTGCCTAGTACCATCAACACAAAGCAAAGGAATGCAATTTCTGAAGGCCTCTATCATACACCCAAATGACCAGAAAGCCCGACGAAGAACATTCTCCCCATTTTCATTCACCTCGTCGAGAATAGCCATGTGTGTGCCCGGGTTTCTTGCCTGCATCACCTCCAATAGTGGGGGAAGATTGTGATAAGAATCCTCATAAGTTCCAAACCTCATCTCCAGTGCTTTCTGTTTTGCCCTCCAAGCCTTGTCGTACGATATCTCATATCCATACTCTTTCTCTATGTCATGTATTATTGTGAAAGGGGACAAAGATGTTTTTCTAACCACCTTTGAATATACCATTTGTGCCACAAATGCCGCAGTCATGTTCCTGTGTACCGGACGGGTATTCTCCAACAAACACATATGTTGCTCAACCCTTGAAGCTACCCATAAATTGTCATGTTGTGGCTTGTAACCATGCACTCTCCAAGGATATCCAGCCTGTGTGCACTTCACGTCGTACGTCGTCCTAGTTGAAACCTTCACCCCAAACTCACGCTTCTGGTCAAATGTCCACCTCTTCACCGCATCTTGTAAGTGACCTTTGTCATGAAACATATGTCCAACTTGCACCTGCTTACTATCATAACACCAGTGGGCATCTAAACCATCGTTAATATTCATACGACTCATCGATATGGTCATCTAATCATCGGGTATGTTGGTTTCGTTGTCCCACAGTGTTGTATCTTCTCCTTCCACTACAAGTGCAATGTATTCCTCATTTTCCACTGCCATCTGATCCACTACTGCCTCATTCTCCTCCGCTACGTCAACACGCATAGGCGAATCCGGTTCTTCGTCGTCCGAGTCGTCGGCCTCACGATTATTGTCACGAACAATGACCTCTGCTTGTGTATTACCCTCTACTACTTCTTCCCCTCGACCTTGCTCAATCCGCCAAACATTTTTCGCTTGTGCACCTTCCAATGGAGTTTCTTCCACCATGGCATGACTTGACTCCCCCGATCGATCAACACATGTTGTCTTCTGCATTAGTATTGCCAGGCTATACCGTTTCTCCCTTACTTTACTAGGCTATACCGTTTCTCCCTTACTTTACTAACAAACTTCCTCCAACTCCCAGTTGATGCAACCTCCACTACTCTCCACTGCCATCCATGTTGAACCCTTATTGATCACACGGCTTTTAAGACAAATTTATCGAGCACTGGATCTACCCCCAAACATATTATACAACCACCCTAACACGTCGTTCAAACCCATATGCTCGAGTGCATTCAGACTAGTATCATGGAAGTCATATACAGTCAAATCCACCCCGCTATCACATATTTGTATAGGAGCATCACCGTAATACAGACGAATGGGCATTTCACCTGACATCCTGATAAAACATGACAAATTGTCTAACGTTTAATCATTTAAGCCTTCGATAATTACCCTATTACAATTTATACTACATTGCCATGTACTAACTTACAACTATTATTGACAAACAACTACTTTAATAATCCAAATAAAATATAGTACCTTCTACCTATTTTAGCACACAACAAATTAATAACATGTATTAACTAACAACTAATTTAACCATACGATTACTTAAATATCTCTACTAATATTTAGCAATGACAAATGCTAACAAATCATATGTACTAACATTGAACAATGCGAAACAATTAACAAATCACAAGCCATTTTTTATTAAACTTTCATATGCCTCGTACTTAGGGATTAGTAATGTATACCTTAACTTCACTGGTGGAGGCCGTCGCCAACCCTTTCCTCCCGGCCGGCGCCTCCTCTCCGGCCTGCTAGCCCCTCCCCTTACTCCCTCCGGCGCCGACAGCGACACAGTGGCGACTCTCGGCGGCGGCTGGCGATGTGGTCTAGAGAAAAACGAAGAAGCAACGCGGCCTAGGCGCACGCGGTTTAAAAGGGCCTGTCGAAAGCCCATTGTTCGATAGGGGCGGTGGAGGGACCTATCGAACGCTCCCTGTTCGACAGGCCGCGCGGCGCCGGGTGGTGGGCCCTGTCGAACTCCCTCTGTTCGATAGGCACATCGACAGGGTCCAGTCGAACGCTCACCGTTCGATAGGGGCCTATCGAACTACACCAGTTCGACAGGCCTCTAAATTCGCGATTTCCCTGGATGGCCTCTACTTTTGCGATTTTCCATTAAAATAATATTAATTCTTAAAAAAAATCTGCAAAAATGCAAGTCAATTTTCTTAAATGGGACCAGATACGGTCCCTCTGCAAACTATAGGATTCTTATACAGAAAAATCGTTTATGTAGTAGTGTTCTTGGAAGCACGTATTGTACTTCCTTTTGATATGCTGAGTAAGCTTAATTATAATCTTTAGGTAATCGAGTTTATAAAAACCTTTTTCTTGGAGGACCTTTATGATCGAAAACCTGCATTCGCTGGCACAATCTGTCTTCACTAGTGCATAAACTTCCATATTTATCTATACCTTTTATAAAAATTACAAGCCACTAAATTTA